CCACCTTGTGGCGTGCAATACAATGGTTAGTGCTGGTCCAACATTCTATTCTGGCAACGTTTCGCACAACTTCTCGCATCGACTGCATATGTGTCCCACAAGGCTGGTCACGGTTGGCGCAGAACCCGCACGTCCTTGTTCTCAAAGGTGATCGGCTACAACTCGTCAACTGTGTGAAGCGGGTTGATCACCGGCCACTGGGGATCTGGTTGCACACTAGAAATCTGCAATGTGAAGCGCATGACCAAGTCAATTTGGATCGCGATGCAATTGTCAGATGTATCACTGCAGGTGATTCTCGTGACAGCTTCGTGGAGGCGGTACAACAACAGTGTACAAGCAACTGGGACCGTTGGCAAGAGGCTGTGCAGCGTAACAACCCTACTGATATTTACGATGTTCTTCGTAGTACCCTTCACCGCGCCGCTTTACAGGTTTTTCAAGAGGCTGCGATTGTTCATCCTGATGTTGCTCGCTGTCGTGATTTGCGGCGAACAGCTCTTGTTCAAAGACGTACTGTGCGTGGTGGTTCATGCAATTTTTTTTATGCTGGTGTGCTACACGATGCTGTTCTGGCATACAAGCATTGTAATCTTGCAAGTGCTTGCAACTTACAATTGCCCTGAAGGCTATGGGTCCGATTTTATCGGCCTGGAAAGCCCAAATTCGCCTTGACAAAGCCACTTAGGAGGCAAAGCTGGCGTGTCGTCAAGCCCTCAATGTTCCATTGCATAGAGTAAAACAGACTGTATGACTGTTTTGTAGACTCTTAACTTCCAGGAGGGTTCGTTGGGAGCATCTTCGGCTTGAGTTGCAAACGGCGTGGAGGAAACGAAGGTTGGCGGAGGCCTGGAAGCTGTGCAGGCGCATAGCGGAAGTCCACAAGGGGTCTCGCAGGAAGTGAGGCCGCATGCCTCTCACTGCTATGCCATCAATCCAACAATGGCAGAAACACCTCGCGCAAGATGCGCGTCAGGGTGGGTGGAGCGCAACAGCTGTCAGTCAGCGTTTACTCCGCCAAGGTTTGATATGGCACACTGCCTGGTCACGCGAACACACTCGCGAACATGCTGTCCGTGACTGCAGAGATCTTTCGCGCTGTGTCAAACTTGGTGCGTTCCGAAAGAGTGTTCCTGATGGTGAATCCCATTGGAAATCTGGCGGCTGGTCATGTTTCCACAGGAGGTGAGAGATCAGCAGAGATTTGGAGTGGGTCACGAGCGGTCTTTTCCAACTCCCTTCACTGCTCAACGCTGGCTAAAACAACTTCTGGCGAGTATACGTTCTGCAGGACATGCGCCGTGTCAATTCCAGCTCAGTGCTGGTCATTGTGTGCATAAAGCTTGCAAGCCGCACGTAGGGGAAGATAACCTATGCAGTGATGTACGCATTGTACATGCTTTTGGGGCACTGGCCAAGCAGTACTACAGAATGCTGTGGCGCAGATCAGTAGTGCCGCACCTTCCCTCTCCCCCTGCCTTTGCATATGGTGGTGTTGTGGGCAAGCGCAGAGAAGAGGCTATTGCAGTGCAAAACATCATGGCGTTTCGACTTCGCACAAGTGGGGTTTCATCCGCGCTCAAGCTCTACGACGTGAAGAATGCTTTCCCCTCACCTGCGCATTCTAACATTCGAAGCATTTTCCAACAACTGCCTCCCTCTCAGGATGTATCAATTCTTTTACAGCACATCGTCAACCACCGGTGTGAACTCCAAGCATGTGATGGGTCAGTCTTATTGCAGCCTGGTTCTGGCATTCCGCAGGGAAGCACAATCGCCACTGAGTGTTTCAACTTGGTGTGCTGGGGCGCAATCCGCCAATTCGAAGACCAGCTGATGCCGCACAATGAGCTTCTCACCACCAACATGGAGCATTGCCCGACGGCGATCTCGGTGGCCACTACCGTTTTCGTTGACGATCTCGCGTCTCGGGTCGCAGACAACAAACCAAGTGCTCTATTCCAAAAAGTAGAAGACTCTGCTGCCCGCTTGGATGGTGCGCTAGATCGGCTTTCAATGGTTCAGAATATATCCAAAGCTGAAGCCTTGCTTAACCTTCGAGGCCCAGGAGCTCACAAGCTTACTCGTGAAGCTTTTCTCTATGGTCAACTGGTGCCAGGCTGCAAAAAAGAAGCTCGCTACCTGGGGCCATATTTGCATTGGGACTGTTCTTTTGCTCCTGAATGCCAACGACGCATTGACGCTGCTAGACGTGCATGGTACGATTTTCGTGGGTTCTGGTTCAAGCGGATTGATATGCGTTTCAAATTGTTGGTTTTCCGATGCTTGGTGGTTCAAACTCTCTTATCGGGATTGGTGGCTTGGTACGTCAACGACCACTTCATCAACAAGATGGACTCTTTCCTGGTGGGGTTGCTTCGCAAACTTCTCCAAGGACAAGCTTGTTCTAAACAGCAGCTAGAGGATGGAAACACCAGATACCGTTCACTAACCAATCAACAGGTTCACGTTCGGGCTCGCGTGGCTCCAGTTGGCATCGAGCTTGTAGTCGCACGGCTTCGATGGCTTCAAACCATGCTTGCGAAACCCCGCGAGCATCATCAAATGTTTGCTGCGATGTTTGGTCAGTTCCCTTTCGAGAAAACACTTTCGGACCATCCGTGGCTTGTACAACTACGGAGTGATCTCAGTGACCTCTCGCAGATCGAGGAGGCTGCATGGATATCTAACAGTGTCAAAGACAACCCTGCACACCTACTGCATGACGCTGTGCTTCGTGAAGCATTTTGCGCTGTAGATGTTTCGGAGCTTAGGGCAAAGTCCATATCTGTTCAAATCCCGCCGCCTGGCTTCACCGACGGCACAACTCAGAGTCCCGCTGCTACACGTACCGAGTTTGCAGATGGGCATGTGTGTGAATTACTCCGTGTGGACGGCAGTATATGTGGCCAAAGATTCCAGACGCAAAAGGCTTTGTTTGCGCATCAAAGGTTTGCGCAGGATGGAGAACATGGCACCGAGGTACATGCAGCTACCCTTGTGGTCACCAACCAGTGTCCTTTCTGCTCATCGGCGTTCAGCAGTATCGCTTCTGCAAAAAATCATTTCAGAAGAGCTCTGTTTCATGGCCGTTGCATTGCTGATAGTGCTTTTTTGCCGGTTGAGGTCACACCGTGTTATGATGTGATTTGCCCCCTATGTGACTCCGCCTTCGCTGACCATTATGCTTATCATTGGCATGTTCGCAGTCATTTTCCGGATCTTCAGCATTCCATAGAACTTCTTGACACTTCTGGGCTCACCTTCCCCCCCCACATCGAAGTTAGCAATGAACCTCGGCCTAGAGCAAAATCAGGGCGAGCGGCCGTCCAAGGTTCGTGCAGTCGCGCGACAGGGCATGGAGGATGCGGAGACAAAAAAGCTGCTGTCAACACTGGCAAAGTTGTCATTGTCAAACGCAATGCAAATCAGGGCTCTTCGCAGCATCCTCTTGGAAGTGCACCAAGTTCCTGCAGCCAACCCGTACATCCAGGAGGCCATGCAAGCCACCAAAAAGTATGCGGAGGCAGCCAAGGAAATGAGTCCAAAGGACAAAGAGGAGCGCCTCGGCCTTCCTCACATCCATGTCTGGAACGCTCTGTTGGCGGTCGCAACACGCAACTTGGAGCAACGTGCGAAAGAGCAAGATCCCTCCCACCAAGAGTCCCTCGCGGTCCTGTTGGAGTATGCCAGCAAGTACCAGGAACAGGGGTGGAAGGCCATCCACCACGAAGTGAAGTACGCGCGCGTCCAAAAAAACTTCAGACCAGAGCTCAAGCGGTTGGAGATCAATCTGATGGAAAACAGCCCGTCAGACAAAGTGTGGGCCATCATCAAAGCAGATCTTCGCCGAGATCAGGGAGTGCGGGAGTTGCCGGGGGTGGCACCGGCAGGGGATCTCGAACGCCAGCTTCAAAGGTTTCTGGATGATGCCAGTGGAAGTGCTAAGTGACCATTGCAGAATGTTTGTATAGACTGTCACGTTTGCGAAGCGGCAGGCGTGCCTTGTGCTGGCGCTGTATGGCTCTCCATGCGTAGCGTTCAGCTGTTAGGTCAGTGGGCCGTAGCCCGCGCTGTAGCGCGAATCACGGCTTCTGGCTGTTCTCTGAGGGGTTTTTGTTTGTTAGGCTTGACTCGTCTGACCTTTCCCTCCGCAGAGCGTGTGTGTGTGTGTGTGAGTTTTCGCACAGAGAAGCAAGCGGGATTTTGGGGGAACTGTGCTTCTATGAGATTTTTCGCGCAGAGAAGCAGCGGGATTTTGGGGTGACTGTGCTTCCATAAGAAGTTTCGCACAGAGAAGCAGGCGGGGTTTTGGGGTGACCGTGCTTCTATGAGAAGTTTTCGCACAGAGAAGCCAGCGGGATTATGGGGGAACTGTGCTTCTATGAGAATTTTCGCACAGAGATGCAGCGGGATTTTGGGGTGACTGTGCTTCCATGAGAAGTTTCGCACAGAGAAGCAGGCGGGGTTTTGGGGTGACCGTGCTTCTATGAGAAGTTTTCGCACAGAGAAGCCAGCGGGATTATGGGGGGAACTGTCCTTCTATGAGATTTTCGCACAGAGATGCAGCGGGATTTTGGGGTGACTGTGCTTCCATGAGAAGTTTCGCACAGAGAAGCAGGCGGGGTTTTGGGGTGACTGTGCTTCTATGAGAATTTTCGCACAGAGAAGGGTTTTGGGGGGACTGAGCTTCTATTGCATTTGCGTTTGTGTTTGGCTTTTGGTGAGTTTTTTGGCTTGCATTTGGCTTGTGTTTGCGGGATTTTCTTGCTCTTGGACTTGAGATAGACGGAAAGCAGTGAGTCAATCCGGCATGCCTCCAAAACAAGAGCAAGTGTGGTACTTCGATTCGTTGCTGCCAGTACCCACGCGAAGGATTGTTGGAATGCTGTAAGAGGTGGAGCGAAAAGGAAAAGGAAGCCAAACTTCGCTTCGTATCTTCTCAATTGAAGAAGAAGACGACGCAGATTGGTTACTGTCACAGGCACGAAGCATGCTCCATGAAGTTCCGGTTTTCCTTGGTGAGCAACAAGGAAGAAGGCAGTTTGGCAACAAAAAAAACTTTGTTGTTGTTTGGGAAGTCGGTCTCAAAATTCTTGGGAAGCGATGTCGGAGAGTGCTAAGGTTCCGCGCTTCCACCAGACTTGCTTGATTTGGATGAGGAAGTCTTTTACTTGCGTGTTGAAAGATCCGTTCGGGAGGGTCGCAAGCACGACGGGAAGGTCATTGCAGAGGTCGAGCAGCATTTGAATAAGCACCAGTTTGGACGCCACCTTCCAGCAAAACAGGCGAAGAAGGCTATGACAGAGCTGGGAATTCCCGCGGAGCACATTCCAAGTGATCGAGCTTTAGATGGTGTCAGACACCGACATTTGGAAGAGGCCAAATCCTATGACGGCAAGTTTGTTTCCACATTTCGAGCTTTTTGCCAGCACCCACCCTTGCCAGTCGCTGTGCTTCACACGGAAGAGACACCTCTGGTTTCAGAAGAAACGGTTCGGGTCTTGTTTTACGAGCAAGAGAACTTGGATGCCGTGATTGCCTACCTTGGCACACAGGATCGGTGTGTGCTCGTCATGGATGCCACATTCAAGACCAATGTGCAGGATCTTGTGTTAGCTAGCCTCGGACTGGTCGTCTTGCACCAGGTTGGCGGAGTGGTGCGCAATCGATTCTGGCCGGTAGTTTGTGCTGTGTGTGACAAGGAAGATGAACCGTGTTATGCACTCTTATGTCGATCTTTCCAGAAGCTATTGGAAGCTTCGGGTTTGGATTGGAAGAAACTGGTGACGAATGTGGTCATGGATGGTGCAGGCGGTGCCATCAATGCGACAAGTGCATGCTTTCCAGACGCTACTTTGCACCGGGACTTAGAACACATAAAGAAAGACGTCAAGCGCACAGGGACAAAAAAAAAGTTGACTCAGAGTTGACACTGGAGATAACGGAAATCATCCAGTTCAGCGCGAAAATCGCACATCCATTACAGTTCCATGTCATCTGGGAAGACACGTTGCGAAGGCTGCGTGACCCCGAAGACTGGAATCAGGACAGCGCGCTGTGTGTGTGTGTGTGTCTGTGTGTGTTTGACATGGTTTCGATCTCTTGAGCTGGCTTCATAGACTATTTTTTTCGATCTTGATAGCGCTGGGTTGATAGACCAGAAGGCTGCTGCTGGGAAAGCTGCCTTGGGGTAACGCAGCGGAGCTTGTAGGTTTGTTTGAGGAGAAATTCGCGGATTACTTGGAGAAGTGGGTCTTGCAGAAGAAAGGCTTGTGGTGGAGCGCAGATTGGCAGAGTGGTCTCGGTCAAGTGTGCCCGGGTTACGGCACTTATGTGTCGAATTCCCAAGAGCGGGCTTGGCGTTCGATCAAAGGTCTTTTCAAGAAAGGCTTCCGACACCAGGATGTCAGCCAATTGGTGCGTGAAACAGCCGTGACCCTGCAGACTCTGGTGCACGGAGGACAGTATGCCAAAGCATGCTTTCAGATCGAGGAGCCTCCTGAGTCACTTGCGTACAGTGCGAAAAGGTTAAAGTCCGAGCAAGATGATGAAGGAACCCAATCCCACCGGCTCACGTTGGACTTGATGCAGCAGTGGCGAGATAAGGAAGGCATGCGGCATGTGTTGTGTTCCTAAAAGCAGTGTTGGTGCTTGGTTAAAACAGTGCAGTAGTGTATGCCGCAAGGTGACGCAAACACCTTTCTCAAGTACGAGACTGCGGGCCGCATCATGGTAGACTGTCGGACGGTGGACATTACTTCAGTCATCGTTATGCCAAAGTACAAATTGGAGTATGCCAAGAACAAGAAAAGGGACATGGTGCAGCGGTTGGACTTGGCACTTTGTTCTTTGTATGAAGATGGTGAAGCTGCTTTTCGCACTGCTTTGGGAAACCCAAGGCAGTGGTCCTTTTCCATGCATAAAAAATTGTTCTACAAGTACACTGTGATGTATGTGCTTAGCACGGGCCGTGTCGTGGATGAACATCCACATTTTGTGCACAGTAGCTGCAGCGAGCAGGCTTTCTTTTACAAATCCGTGTTAGGCAGCTTGAATCTGCACCCCATTGCAAGGGGCCCCAAGATTCTCAAAGCCAGGCGTCCACGGCGGGACAGGCGAACCGAGGAGTTTCGCAAAAAAATGCGTACTCCTTCGCCTTGATCCTGCAACACGTTCATGGTTTGAGGAGCCGATTGTTTTCTGTGTTTGTGGCTTTTGGACATGTGCTTTGACGGATAGGAAAAAGTGCGGAAATTTGATACCCTTGTTTACGGCTGCGGGATGATTTGGGACGCTGTGTTATTGCGATAGTCAGATGTCTTTATTTTGATGCAATCAGAAGTCAGATGTTTTTATTTCGGTGCAAGCAAAAGCTGCGGAATGCCAAGACGTGAGTGCCTGAAGCCTTCGGGTTGAGGGTTTAGGGTTTTGGTTTAGGGTTGCCAGTGAAGGGCCTCTAAGGGCCTTTAAGGGTCTCTGAGGGCAGGCAGTGAAGGGCAGTGAAGGGCAGTGAAGGAAGGGCCTCTGAGACCCTTTATGAAGGGCCTCTAAGGGTCTTTGGGCTGAGGGCAGGGAAGAGTGAAGGGCCTTTAAGGGCTTTTAAGGGTCTCTAGGCTGAGGGCAGTGAACGGCAGTGAAGGGCCTCTAAGGGTCTCTGGGCGGAGGGCAGTGAAGGGCAGGGAAGGGCAGTGAAGGGCCTCTAAGGGCTTTTAGGGGTCAGTGAAGGGCAGTGAAGGGCCTCTAACGATCTCTGGTGAGGGCAGTGAGGGGCAGTGAAGGGCAGTGAAGGGCCTCTAAGGGTCTCTGGGCTGAGGGCAGTGAAGGGCAGGGAAGGGCAGTGAAGGGCCTCTATTAAGGGTTCTAGGGGGCAGTGAAGGGCAGTGAAGGGCCTCTAAGGGTCTCTGGGCTGAGGGCAGTGAAGGGCAGGGAAGGGCAGTGAAGGGCGTCTCGGGGCTTTTAAGGGTCTGTAGGCTGAGGGGCAGTGAAGGGCAGTGAAGGGTCTCTGGGCTGAGGGCAGTGAAGGGCAGGGAAGGGCAGTGAAGGGCCTTTAAGGGCTTTTAAGGGTCTCTAGGGGGCAGTGAAGGGCAGTGAAGGGCCTCTAAGGGTCTCTGGGCTGAGGGCAGTGAAGGGCAGGGAAGGGCAGTGAAGGGCGTCTAAGGGCTTTTAAGGGTCTGTAGGCTGAGGGGAGTGAATGGCAGTGAAGGGTCTCTGGGCTGAGGGCAGTGAAGGGCAGGGAAGGGCAGTGAAGGGCCTTTAAGGGCTTTTAAGGGTCTCTAGGGGGCAGTGAAGGGCAGTGAAGGGCCTCTAAGGGTCTTTGGGCTGAGGGCAGTGAAGGGCAGGGAAGGGCAGTGAAGGGCGTCTAAGGGCTTTTAAGGGTCTGTAGGCTGAGGGGAGTGAATGGCAGTGAAGGGCCTCTAAGGGTCTCTGGGCTGAGGGCAGTGAAGGGCAGTGAAGGGCCTATAAGGGCCTCTAAGGGCCTCTAAGGGCCTCTACGGCCTCTAAGGGCTCTAAGGGCGGGCAGTCAAGGGCAGTGAAGGGCCTCTAAGGGTCTTTGGGCTGAGGGCAGTGAAGGGCAGTGAAGGGCCTCTAAGGGCCTCTAAGGGCCTCTAAGGACCTTTGGGCGGGCAGTGAAGGGCAGTGAAGGGCTTCTAAGGGTCTCTGGGCTGGTTTAGGGTTTGGGTTAAGGGTTTTGGGTTTAGGGTTTGGGGTTTAGGGTTTAGGGTTTGGGGTTTAGGGTTGAAGGCAAGGCCAGTGCAGGCCCCGGCAAACGCTCACCTGCGCAGGCAAGCGTCTCGCAAAGGCAGGAGCTGCGGCCACTCACCTGTGCAGGCAAGCGCCGCCACCAGCAAAACCGCGCGTTATTCGCTTTGACGCAAGCAGAGCCTAGCTGGTCTCTCCCAATTGGCATGACGCCGTTGTACGACACGGAGTGTCACCGTTCAGACGAGAAATGGTCAACACTCAAGTCCGAGGGGTTCACACACGGTCGTAGCACACTAGAAGCGGGCAACCTGCCCACCTAGAGGGGGCAGAGAAAAGGAAGATTGGCCGTTTTACCAATGACAAAGCTGGAACAGCCAAGTAGGACCGTGGCTGGCCAGTGGAGCAACCACGAAATAAAGGCCCCCCGTTCCCACAGGCACCGCGGGGCCGACACAGAAGGGTGTTCACAGCTGCAAGCTGTAAGCACACAAAGACAAGCACGATCAATCCGTGGCATAGACCACGAGAGGGTTGCCAACCAAGAATATCCCGAGGTAGTCTTGCGGCATGTCGGCGAGGAGATGTGAGGGCTCACATCACGCTGGGCAGCATGCCATGCGCGTCGCATGGCGTCAGTAGGAGCCCTTAGATGACAGGTTGCTGTCTATTGCCAGGAGCCAGTCCGGACGCCGGGAGCGATGGCCATCTGAGGTAGTATGGGAACGCGTACTGCTGCATTGGAGGCAGCTCTTGCTCATCAACCTCCCACTCAGGGATGCCGTCCGGAATGGGGATACTCCTGTATCTTGTCATTGAGGTTTGGGCCGCAAGCCACATCACCCGGACAGCTTTCTGGATTTGCCTGTGCTGCACAACACCTTCGTCCTTATACTGAAAGGGGAAGGAGGTGAGTGCCGCACGCAGAGCCGAAGGATCAGGGTCCTTGGAGGTGCCATGACAGTACATCTTGAACCAGAAGCTGTTGAGTTGCTGCTTGGTTGGATGTTTGGCTCGCATGAGCCCCTTAATGGCAGCCCAATAAGCAGTAGCTGCGTCATACCACGCATTTTGGGGACGTTGGGGCTCATGCTTGGTGGGTGTAGTGCTGATCCCTTTCCAATGCACATCAAAGATGACTGGCGGCCACTTCTCGCAAAGCTGCAAGGTCAGTGGTTCGCAGCTTCGAGAAGCGCCAATCATTCACCTGTGCCTCGGGTTCGTCCTCCGCGTCCGATATGTCATCCATCGGGACAGAGAGAGCCTTTGTTAGTTTTGGAAGAGATGCTGACGACCACCAAGGCTGCAAGAGCAAGCCTGATGGCGTTAAGGAAATGGGCAGGGGGGAGGTCCAGCCTAAATTCTTGATAGTGCCTTTTCCCAAGTGTCTCTGTGCCCTGCAGCGTGATGCCTGGGAACGTGTTCAGGCTGGGCTGGACAAGCCTGGCCGTTTCACGTCCGTGTGCTGAGCAGCTGCGGCCCATGCCTGCAAGGCTTCTTGGGAGGCTTGGCCAGTGACTTGTGGCAGTCCACTGTGCGCGTCCATCACATATTTGGTCGTGGGGCACTTGGGACACCGATAAGCTCGGCCAGCCAAGAAGGCCACCATGGCTGCAGGCGGCACATTGATCTGCAGGTCAGTAATTTTATTGTCAGATTCAGGAAAACCAATAACAATGGGCAGCCCTGCCGTACGCTCCAGGGGACCTTTTTGGTGGAACTCGAATGCGAGCAGAAGTGCACCCAGCCAATAATCTGGGTCAGCGTAGCTGAGCATTGCAGGAAAGCTGGCATTGATGACACTGGCAAGTCCGACACCGCAGAGAAAAGGTCCGCAATGTACTGGTCCAGCTGCGGGACCGGGCAATCCAACATCGCAGCAAGGTCGACATGCTGCAATGCCCCCGACAATCTAAGGCACTGCGTGATAATAGGGTGATAAACCTTCAAGTACGCTGCCGGAAACGTTTCAGGCAGATGCAGTAGCGTGTCAGCGATTCCGATTAGCATGTCCGAATTTTGCAGCTGGTTCGGTATGCCGCTCAAAAACACCTCATAGGCCCGATATGCCCGAAGCTGCTGGCAGTGTGTTGTAAGGTGTTGCAAGTTACGCAGGTTCATGTAGGGCCGAGGTTTGACATTCTTACCAAAGTGATGTCCCGCTGCAAGTGCGCGCCACATGAGATCACAGACCGAGACCGCTCTGCATGATGGGTGCGCAGGCTGGGGCGCTGGGATCGCGGGTGCCGCTGGCTTGCTAGGCCCTCGAGGCTTGGCTTTTGGTGGTTCCAGCTGCTAAGAGCCGTCTTTGTCCAAAGCGAGAGGCCGACTTTCCTTGCGAGCTTGGACAGCGGGCACAGGCCTGGCGGGGCTGGGCGTCGGGCGGAGATACGATTTTGGTTCCGTCAGGCCTAGTGATTATGCGTGCGTGGGCCGTGTCCCGGGGGCTGGGTGGACGTCGTACGCCAGGCGGCGGGTTCCTAATGTTGCCGCCACTACGGGGTGGACATGAGGCGGCGCTACCCCCTCCGATCCTGTGAGCAACTTCACTTGAGGGAGGGAGTCGTCCCACAGGCATCCAGAGCAGTAGGACTCGCGGCCGGCACTTTCGTTGCAGGCTTCTTTGTCAGTTGTCCTCTCTCGCGCGTTGGGGTGCCGCAAGGGGTTCGGGAAACGTCCCGTTTAGCTGGCGGAGGCGGGCTGACAGCTGCCGCAATGGAGCCCCCCGCGGCCCGAGGCTTGAGCCATGGTGCACCCCACCGCTCGCCATGGCGCGCGTTGGTGGTAGCCTCGCCTTGGGCTGGCGACTGCTGCGGCGTAGGAACCTCGACTGCAGCAGCAGCAACCACGTCGGGACTGTTACTACCCGCGGGCACAGGGCTGTTTCCCGGGGAGTCCACATCAATCGCAGTTTCGGAGGCAGCCTTACTCGTGCGAACAGGTAGGAGGTGAAGACCGCGGGGGGCTCGCATTATGCCGGCCTTATGCTCGAAAGCCGGGTCAGCGCGTTGAGCAGATCCCCGCTTGGGCGGCATCCTAATGTTGGTGTCCCCTAGCAAGCAGGTGAGGTACTGGGCGACCCCATCTCCTTCCCTCACCGGCTGGAAGGGGACACAATACACCGCATTGGGCAGGGGCTCCAGGACGAAGCCGCGCGTTTGCAGACTAGCAATGGTGCCCGAGTAAGAGTTGGAGGTGAAAGAGGGACTCCCCCATCCTTCTTGCCGAAGTGTGCGGTAAAAAACTTCCCGCTTGTCTCCCCAGGTGGCCTTCAAAGCCCACGCTTGGTGCAGGGGTGGTGTTTCAAAGAGGTCCAGCCCAACTTTGCGTTCCGCAGGCAGCACGATGCTGGCTACTGTCCGTTCTCGGAAGGCTTGCTTGTGTAATGCCGTTGCAATGCCAGGGCCATCCATGCTCCACAAGCTGGCTTGTGTGCGCACATATTCAGCGCGTTCAATTAGGCCCCCGGTTGCGCAGGCCGCCATTTGGAAGCATGCACCTATACCATCAGAGTAGTGCGGTGCCACGAACACCAAAGCCCCAAGCCCTCTTGTGAAGGAGGAGGTGGCTCGGGCAAACCCTGCCTCGCTACTAAACAGGAATCCAGAAGCCCGACATGTCACAAAGACACATATCCCAAAGGTGGGGCCAGTGGAGCAGGCCGTGGTGATAGCGCCGAAGAAGCGTTTAAGGGACCCTATGCGATTCATGAGGAAGGTCCGAAACGTCACAAGGCTCCAAGTGTTGGGCGCGCCAGTTAGCGGGAAGTCTTCCGCGGTTTGGCAGGCTTCAAGTAGGCTCATATCGTCATCACCCAGTGGGTCTGCCGGGAGACTCAACTGCAGCATAAACTTCATTTGGGTGACAATCCTGGCATACTGAGAGACCATCCCGATAGGGGAGCCAGGATAGACCTGGTGCCCAAAAGTGAGCACAATGTCCGCCAGGACCATGCTGAGGTCGTAGCTTCTGCCTATTTTAGTTTGGGTCTCATCCTGATCTGGCACCCGTACCCGTCGACACGTTTCCACCCACCTGCCTGCAAGACTACGCAGTGGCCGCCCGAGCAGGTGCTGCATTGTGGGACCTGGTGGCATACGTTGCCGAGGGACCCTGCCTATCAGCTCGAAGCGGCACGCCTCCGAGTACCGACATGCGTATAGAATGGCAGCAATCTCAGGAGGGAGGCGCATGGATGAACAGAGCGAGTGAGAGGTTGACAGCCGGTCCGACAATGGCCTTCAGCCCGGCGGCCTGCATGACTGTCTCGGCTTGCTTCGGTTTGACGATGCTCATACAGAGAATCGATTCCAGCATCGAGACCGCTGAGAACAACATCTCAGACGCTCCAGAGGGACGGTGGGGCTTGCCCCAAGAGGGCATCTCGCCTTGTCCTTTTTTCCACGGGCCGGAACTTTGGGCCGTTTGCCGCAAGAGGGCCGCAGGCAAGGTGGCTGGCGTGTGGAGGTCGGCAGGGACTGCATTGAGACCACAAATCTTTTGCTCCAACAACTCCGTGACGAAGTGGTAATTGGGTCGCGAGCCTCCAGCGGGCTGTCTGTGGTCGCCAATCATGACATCGAGTGCATGCTTGATGTGCGCCAGAATGGTGTTGGAACCCGGTGTGCCCAATTGCTGGGCTTCATCTCGGAGGAGCAACTCAACATCCTTTAGACGGTTAATGAGCTGCGAGTAGGGAAAGCTGAGCCTTGCCACAATCGTACCATGTGTCGTGGCTACAAGTAGCCCCCGGTACAAATCGTGCACATCAAAAGGGAGCTTATGTGTGTCCTTCTCCTTGTTACCCGGTATGCGAACGATGCGGCTGCGAACAAATTCATTGCTAGCAGTCGTGAGCCTATCAACCGCTTCGACATAGGCCCGAACCGATTCATTGCCATGAGCGGTGTACAGGGTGAGCCGGTTCGTCAGGCACGCAAGGAGTACTCCTAGAAACGCGCAGGATCGTGTCTTCCCGCTGCCGGGCGCACCCGTTATGAATACAGAAGTACGATTAGCGGCCAGGCCGTACGAGCACGCTCCCAGCAGCGCTGCCAGGTGTCCGTCCGCCCCCCAAAAGGTATCACAGAGGCACGTAAGGAAGGCGGGACCAACCGCGAGCGCAAAGATGTTTCTGTTGCAGCCTTCGAAACTTTGGCCGAGACATGTGC